TTTTTGAGCAATAAAAGTGAGCATCAATCGAGCACTTCCTCCCGGTGGATAAACGTAAAAAAATTCTCCAGGGAGCAAGCGATGTTTGAGCGCATTCATTTTGAGCAAATTGCATTTCATGCAAAATTCTATTCTCAGCAGTAACATCAATATTTTCAACACTTTTAAAGCTAAAAAAGAAAATAAAAAATGCAATAAATATTTTTAAAAGTTTTCCAGAACTAATAGCAAATTAAGTAAAACAGTATGCTTATGTGCACCCCGTTAAAGTCATATTTGAAATTCATTATCGCGGAATTTAAAAACGTTAGAATGTGTCTTGAGCGTTGGCGCTTGTCGGTTCGCCATAAAATTATTATCGATCTCCCTTCGCGTCCTCGCGTGCAACGTCACTGACCTATGCAAAGTGCGCCTTGCATGCGCACGTTTGCTCCGAAGGCCTTTCATGGACGGAATGGCTGATAAGGATGCGATTCTCTCTTAAGATATTTATTAAGTACTTATTACTATAGGCAAATATAGATGCACGCAGTATATAACTTACAAACAAAAATTTACGCACTGATCATCGACTTTTAATTTGCGATAATGATATCATTTTAATAATAATGTGTGAGAAAGAAATTGTCAAAATATTTAAAATGTCCGCTAGAGAATATTTCTCGCTGTATTATTTAATTATTAGGATCAGGAAGCTTAACATAAACAAAATAATGAATGTCAAAAAAAAATTACTACTAAAAAAAATTTACTAACAAGAAGATAGTTATAAAAGATACTGAAAGAAACTCAATGAAAGAATAATTTTAAATTAAGAAAAATATGGTTTTAAAGGCACTTACAATTTTTTTCACCTCAATGAAAGAATAATTTTAAATTAAGGAAAAAATGATTTTAAAGGCACTTACAATTTTTTTCACAATACAAGGAAGCATTGGTATTGCAATTTCGTTGAAGCGAGATGTTCCGCCATGATGACGGTAGTTTAAAACTGAGAGCATCAAGACGAGATTGCACTGCGTGCATCTACGCAAGTCGCGCGAGCATGTCGCGTTAATCACGTTAAATGTTAATTAAGTCACACAGCCGCACGGTTCGCGGAGACGTAATACGCATTCACGAGTCACTCTAAATTTACGATACTATATTATAATTATACAAGTAATTAGAGCGATACTCACAGTCTCAATTCAAAAACATAATTACGTTGTTATAATGGAAATATTGCTTTTTTTATTTTATATGTAACTAATTTGCAGTGGAAAATAATCACACGTTATAAATTTATAAGCTTTGATTAAGATTATCATTAATATTTAATCATTCGATTCATGACTCGACATTTAATGATTCAGAGATTATTATGAAATAAAATAATTATGAGTGATTATTCTATGCGAGGCTGTGGTTATTCATGGAATACCAATCAACTGTGAATATCGCTTTTAGAAATTCTTTAAAATACAGAAAATTCGCGCGAGCATTTATATATAAGAAAGACAAAGTGGCGATGAACGATCTCTCTCATTTGATCGTTCTCTACTCCATTATGCATTTACAATATCTCAAAAAATCCTTTTGTAAAAACGTGAAAAATCTTACGAAATACTCCAATGTACAATCGCAAAATAGGAAATACTGGCCACGTCATATTTCATTCATATGCACTTCGCCACATCCTATTTCCATTTTTCCTGCTCACTTAAACCAGAATCGTGTAAAGTTCCGGTAAAACAATTTTTTTTCATAAAAACAATTACTATATCACAAAACTTGTTCCAACAATTTCACAGCGGAACTTTAAATCGTGTTTTTCTTTAAACGTACAAACATTTTCATTTAGAAATATTTTTCGTTTTAAGATCTGCCTCTCGACAAAGTCGAGAACAATTTTACGCGTATCTCCTTATGTTGTGTGCTCGAAATTTATAATCTTAAAACGAGCTCTCACGAGCTTTTGTTCTAAGCTGCGCCGCTTCTGGGCTCGGTGTCATCGCCGGATTATCGTACGCATAATCGAGAGTGGTGTCTTCACTGGCGTATCGCCGTGACAGAGGGGTACTCGTGGTATTCGGTGTAGTGCTATTCCCGTTACTATTGCTACTACTATTCTCGGTGATCTTGGGTTCTGGTTCAACTGTTGCACTTATGCTCGGTATAGTCAATTTGAGATCATTTTGTTTATTCACAGCGGCCTCGACGTCGTCTTTATTCTTATTCGCCACCTGCGAAATTTAGATCAAAGTACTTGCAATTGCCTCGCGTAAAAAAGACTTTAATAAATTTGTTAAGATAAACATTCATAGCTTTAGAAAATTGAGATTAAAGGATATAAAAATAATTTTCATTTTTTTTTTTAATAAAAAACATATTTTAATTCAATTTAATTTGTTATT